CAGGGCATATATAAAGTGATTGATGGTTCATTGTAATCCACCATGACTGGTTTAGGGATGTCAGAGGATATCCCTTTTCCTGTTCTGTTTAATAGCTATTAATAAACCTATCATATAAGAATTGGTCGAATCCCTGTTTGCACTTGCCTATACTATCTGCTTCTACAATTTTCTGTGACAATGAGCGCCACAAATTAACTGCACACTGAAGAAAAAAAAAAAAAGAAAAGCCCAAAACAACAACAAAAAAACCTGTATTCTGTTAATTTCAGCAGGTACCCCTGTTCTAGTATTCTGGGATTTGGTGAATAACAGTTCCCTGTTCACTTTATCCACACCTTTCATGATTTTATAGACCTCTGTCATACCATTGCTCAGCCATCTTCTTTTCAAACTGAAGAATCCTAGCTTTTTCAGTCTCCCCTGGTATGGCAGCAGCTCCATACCCCTGATCATCTTTCTGTGAACCTTTTTGAATTCCAGGATATCCTTTTTGCAATGTAAAGACCAAAACTGCACATAACATTCCAGATAAGAGCACACTGTAGATTAATGTATTGGAGGGATTATATTTTCCATATTATTCTTAGTTCTCTTTTCATGATGTCCAACATGTTATCGTTTTTTTTCAGATCACCACTTCTCATTGAGCTGATGTTTTCAGAGAACTATCTACAAGGACTTCAAGGTTTCAATCTTGAGTTCTAACAGTTAGTTCAGAACCCAGCATTGTGTACATATACAGTATATGAGGTTACTTTTCCCTATGTGCACTTGTCAACATTGAAAGTCATCTGTCATATTTTTGCCTGATCACTCAGTTTTGAGATCTGCAGTTATTCACCATCAGCTTGGGATTCAACTACTTGGACTAGTCAAATTCTGCACTCGCTGTTATTGGGTATATAATTGCACTGTAATGCTGAGTTCTCCCTGTAACAAGCTATGCAAATGATACATGCTTTTGAAGTCAATATTGCCTTTAATGCTATGTATACAAGCCAATTTTACTTCATATTGCTTCTACTTGACCAGTCAGACTCTCCAGAATCATTGACTTTGAGAAAAATGTTGACTAAACAATTGAGGAACTTTGGCAGTGTTCACAACAGAAAGAGCAAATAAAGGACTGAGGCAGACAAGGTTCCTTGGGTGAATTTGATATCTTTTATTAGACCAACCCAAATGTTTAGAGAATAGTTATTAAGCAAGCTTTCGGGTTCAAAAGCCCTTCATCAGGCTAAGGAAGCTTGCTTAATAACTATTCTCTAACCATTTGGGTTGGTCTAATAAAAGATATCAAATTCACCCAAGGAACCTTGTCTACCTATGTCCTTAGACCAACACGGCTACAACCCAAACCCCTGCAATAAAGGACTGAGGCATTTTACATTAGAGGCATTGGTTATAATACATGAGTTGCTCCATGTATACTGGAGCATAGGGCTAGGATTCAGAGAGACCTTGACAAATTGGAGGACTGTACCAAAATAAATCTCATGAGGTTCAATAAGAGCAAGTGCAAAATCCTGAATTTAGGCAGGAATAATCCCATGTGCCACTATAGGCTGGGGACCAACTAGCTAAGCAACAGCTCTGCAGAAAAGGACCTGGGAGTTACAGTGGACAATAAGATGAAATATGAGCCAACAGTATACCCTTGTTGCCAAGAAGGCTAATGGCATGCCTGGGCTGCAATAGTAGGAGCATTGCCAGCAGATCGAGGAAAGTGATTATTCTACCTCTAATTGGCACTGGTGAGGCCATATCTGGAGTACTGTGTCCAGTTTTGGGCCCCCCATTACAGAAATGTTGTGGACAATTTTGAGAGAGTCCAGCAGAATGTAATGAAAATGGTTAGGGGGCTGGGGCACATGACTTCTGAGGAGAAGCTGGGATGATCTAGTTGGGACTAGTCCAGCTTTGAGCAAGGGGTTGGGCTAGATAGCCTCCTAAGGTCCCTTCCAACCCTAATTTTCTATGATTCTCAAGAGAGGGATCTAGGCTCTGGGTCCCAATTGGATAGTAGGTCTCATCTGCAACCGTGTTGCAAGTCTCTAAGAAAGTATGAGAGAGGACTTCTACCTTCTCCCTTTCCCCCCTCCAGCCTCCTTCTGCCCAATCCCCTCCACACCCCCATAAAGCATAATATGAATTATTTTGCTTACTGACCACATAAAAGATACCTAGCTAGGATAGACTATCCAGATCAGACATGTCCACCTAGCCCAACCTTCTGCATCTCACACTAACACAGAGCAGATGCGAAGGAAGAAAGTATTTCTTCAGGGCTTATGCATACTGCTCTGTCTCTTTCCTTACAGCTTCAAGCATTCAGAAGCCTTGGAAGTCATAGTTTGGAGGATTAAGCCCTACTATTGTGTTTAATATCCACTGATAGACGTATCCTGTATGAATTTGTCTAATCCTCTTTTGTACCAAGTTAAACTGTAAGCCTATGCTGCAGCTCGTGGCAATGAGTTCCACGCTATGTGAAAAAGAACTTCTTTTCTATATTTTAAATCTGTTTCCTAATAATTGCCTTGCACATGTCCTTATCCTAATATTGTGAGAGAGGGTAAATATTAAACCCATATTTTCTTTCTCCATGCCATTCATCCTTCTTGCCCATATCTGTATTTTCCTCTTTCTATTATATCCTTTTGGAGCTGGGGTGGGACAAGAACTACAAGGGTGAGGGTGTACAATTGATTTATACAATATCATAATGACATTTTCTGTTTTGTTTTCAATTTCCTTCTTCTTAATTCCTAACATTTGTTTTTTTGACCATTGCTGAACAGCTGATATTTTTCAGAGAAATGCCCACAAGATCTCTTTCACAAGTAATAACAGCTAACAAAGAGGTCAACCTTGTGTATCTGCATCTCAGGTTATTCTTTCCTGCATGTATGTACTTTATCAACATTGAACTTTGTATGCTACTTTGTTACCCATTGACAGGATGTCATGAGATCTTGGGCAGTTCTTCATAATCTGTTGGGTTTTTTTTTACCACAATGAGTAATCTGGTGTCATCTTCAAACTTGGCCACCTCATTATTCACCACCCTTTCCAAAACATTTGTTAAGTATGTTTAACAGAACAGACCCCAGCATGGGCCCTTAGAGGGCCCCACTTCTTACCTCCCTCTATTGTGAGACCTGAACATTTATACCTACTCTTCGTTTTCTTTCTTTAGCCAGTTGCTGAACAATGAATGGGCCTTGCCTCTGTTTCTATGATAGCCTGATTTCATTAAAAGTCTTTATTGTGGGACCTTGTCAAAAACTTTTTCAAAGTCCAGATACACTATAAGAACCAGACGGCCCTGATCCACATACTTGTTGATGTCAGCTCCCCACTTAGGGGCATTTTGGATCAACATTTGGAGTGCTTAATTCTCCCCATGTACTGTAAAGAGAGTCAAGCACCTAACTCAGGGGTTTGAATTCCACTGTGGGAGGCCAGTGGAGGTACCTAGAAGTTAGGTAATTGTGGCATCTAATAGCATAACTTTGAGGCACCCACATCCTTTTCCTGGATGTGGCACCTAGTATTAAGTCTCCCTTAAAATCATCATGACTCAAGTGTTTACACCACTTAGATCCTGTTGGAAATGTTACCCTTTGTCATAAAAGTTGTAAATCACCATAATGCAACAGGTGATTAGTTTTATAAATCCTGCCTGCTCTAATATCTCTCTCTCTCTGGCTTTTCTTTATTGGTGTTTCTTTTTCAGAAGGTGGAAAAACTAGAAAGAAACTGTGTAAGGACATCTATGGGTATGACATTTTTGTGACTGCAGTATAGACATATCCTGAATTAAAAGTAGCAAAGAATTGAAGTAATAGAATTGCATTTAACTTGATGGGCAGAAATTCATGGGATGTCAAAATGCTGAGTAGTCATAGCACAAATGTATATCTAGTTTAATTGAGAAATGATGGTTTACAGAGAGTTGCACGGATTTCTAAGAAGGTCTTTGAATGATCTCATACTTTTTCAGAATAGTAACCTAAGATATAATTGCCAGGATCATTAGGACATTGCTAAGAAAAATGTGCAGTAGAGCCACAGACGACCTGGCATAAGCCAGAAAAATTGATGGCGAGGTGAACATAATGAAACAACTTGCTTAGTTATTAGAGGTAATCAAAAATCAAGTAACCAGAACTGACTATTCTGTGATCATATATACTAAACAGCAGGAAGAGTTGGGGTGCTGGACAGTGGGAGGAAAGGAATATAACATCCAAGGTCATGATGACTTGGAGAGAAATGAGCTGTTTTACATTACTCACTTGGCTTTTGTCTCACCCTCTTGTGGATGTAGAATGAAGCCAAATATCAAGCAATGAGGTCAATATCAGGCTTGAAATTTCAATGGCTTGCCTGCCCTTAAATATCAATCAGCAGAGGTAAAAGGATCTATTCAAAGAGTAATGCTAGAGAAGGATGTGAAGAAAGGTATCCGGAAACCTATGGATTTGGCTGGAGGAAATATCTTCTAGGAGGAGAACTGAAGAGCAAAAATATGAAGAGAAAGCAGTCTTTAAATACTTCCAAGTAATGGGTCCATATGGTTTGCAGTGTGTGTGTGTGACATATGATCTTCATTGTGTTTGTGATTATATTATGTTTATCAATATACTCTGTCTTTAATCATTTTAAGAATTTATTATTAAGCACCCACTTTTTATGTTTTGAAAGAAACAATCAGAACTAAATATGCTGCATACATATTACAAATTCATGAGCTGAAGACTTTCTTGCATTGTTTAAGGGAAAGCAATTTAAACATTATTTTAAATTAATAATTATGTTTTCAATTTTTTGTGCTAATAAAATTACTATTTCAAATTTCAGTTCATGATTAAAAATTGGCAGGCTACATGAGGCAGACTGGGTGACTCCATTTCAAACAGCATAATGGAAAAAATATTAAACTACTATCACATTTAAGAATTATATTCAGCATAAACTCTGCTTTTTTTTAGGGCTTGGACATGAGCCCTTTGGACTTCCCCAGGGCACTTGAATTTGATTCAGATAACAGAACTAAGAGGATCTAAGTGGTCAGAAGACTGAACGAGTAATGAAAAGTAAAACCAGTGCAATTCTTCAGTCCTAGAGGATCATCTGAGTACTCAGTCTAGCTACTTCTTCTACCCTGCATGTTTAGTAGCACCTCTAAGATGAAAAAGCCTGTTTCAAAATAAACTACCACCCCAACATTTGAAGTTCCATTACCATCAACACTATACTACAAAATTTGTCTATTCCCCATGAATGACTGGTGCCTCCTGAGACTGGCGGGGCACCACTTGTAGGCAGCAGTGTCAGTGGGGACTGCCCATAGATGCTGGTGATGGGCGGGGAGGGGAGGGAAGTGGCGAGCGGTGTGCGGGGACCACCCACAGACTCTGGCAGTGGTGTTGGTTGGGAGGGGGGGTAAGCAGCGACCGCCCGCAGAAGTCGGAGGTGGCTTTAGCAGCAGCCAATCTTGAGGGGGGGGGAAGGGATATGCCCCCCAGTGCCCGTCCTACTCATTGCCTATGCTATTCCCTATTATAGTCAATGGAAGCAGTAGAACTTCAGAGTAGAAAGGTGGCAGGCCACAAAAAAGCAGCACAAGCTCAGGGATTCATGGTTTCTAATCTCATGGAGCTACCTGTGAGTACTCTTGCTGTAGGTTGCTTGATGCCCCTACCTCTAGTAGTGGTTTGCTTTACAGTTGATGCAATGCTGCCCTTGGCAGATGGATCCCTGCAGCACTGTAGGGAATGTGGTAGAGGGTTACATATAAAAATGAGTTAATATCACCTTGCATATAATTGGCTTTCCAAGTGTTCTTGAATGGGGACATATATGCAAGATGTGACACTTGATATCAAGCATCATATTCACACATCAAGAGCGATCTGGACCAAATCCAAATCCAAAGATTTTTTGGAATACAGAACTTTGAACTAGCTTTTCCTGCCTTGCTCTGCATCAACAATACCAGAAAATGCATATCAGAAAGTTGGTTAAGAAGGAACGTTGAAAAAAGACACACAATTAATCTTTTCCAAGAGTTAAAGTACCATCTGGAGCTAAATAGTGAACAGTACAACTCAAAGTCTTACTCTGCCCACTTTCATTCAGTATACAGGATGGACCATCAAGTCAAGTCAGTTCCAAGGCAGCTGCAACTGTTGGGGCACTTCAGATGCTGTAACAACCCTCCTCCACACTGCCTTGTGTTTGACTAACTTTGTGCACTCTGTCAGTTGAAGCCCTGTCCAGTCCTTAATATTGGTTCCCCAGCTCTTCTTGGGTCTACCTCTTTTTCTCTTTCTCTCCACTGTGCCTTGCATTATGGTGTTGACAAGGGTATCCGGCCTCATGATGTGTCCAAACCATTGCAACTTCCTTCATTGCACAACCTCGAACAACAGTTTGTAGGTTCCAATTTTGTGACTGATTTGCTGCTTGACAGTCTCATTGGTCCAGTGCTCAGTGTATGAGACACAGAGTCTTCTAAAGCAATACATTTCAAATTCCTCTTCTGTTCTCAAATTTCTTATTAAGCATCCATGATTCACAGCCATAAAGCATCATAGAGATGACCATAGCATGCAGCAGATGCAACTTTATCTTCAGTGTAATACTGCTGCTTGGCCAGATTTTCTTTAGATTTATCGAAAGAAAGAAAGAAAGTCTAGAGGATAGAAAGTACTCTCCTAACAAGTAGCTTTTAAACATTTATTTTTATCTTCACCATTCACTTTCTACTCCCACTGATGAGGAGAGGGATCCTGTTAAAAACAGAGTGGACACATCTACACATGCAGTTAGCATGGGCAAATAAACTCTGGTGAAATTTGTGCCAGAACTTATTGCTTCCAGGCATGGTATTTACATGAACATGTGGAGCGACTACTCAGCGAAGCTTGTTCACACTGGGGGAAACTGCCAGCATTTGGCACATGTTTGTTCAAGTAGTCCCTAAAGTCAAGGTTATCAATTTTCTCCAGAGGAATGCTGGCGACTATGAATGCCTCCACTAGCACAAATGTAACCTCTCTTTTTGTCACATTGCTTTCAGTTGTTCTTTTAAAGATCAAGGGCATAGTCACTTGTTTCTTGCTCTGATCATCAGTGTCTGCAGCAGCCCTTTACTTTATGCAATTCAGACTACAGTCACCTACCATAGTGATCTTCAAAAAGCGTCTTGATGCCCATCTTGCTGGGGTCATCTGACCTCAGCAGTCTTTCCTGCCCAAGCACAGGGGGGCTGGACCCAATGATCTTGTAAGGTTCCTTTCAGCCCCTAACATATATGAATCTATGAATGTGTTCCTGGGACTGCAGCATGTTGAGCCAGGGCAGCACAGCCTTGGCTGGCAGGGGACCCAAGCAATTAGCCTGTCAACCCAGAAATGCTCCACCCCAGCTCAGTGTGCTGCAGAGAAGCTGGCTGGGGCATGATGGTGCTCCAGAGTGGGGCTAGCCAGCAGGCAGCCCTGCACTGTAGCACCCTCATGCCCCAAACAGCCCTGGTCACCATCTACGTGTGTATTGTGGCTCACTAAATAACTCCACCATAGGATAATACTTGTGTTGGGCAGTATTATCCAATGGCAGAGTTAACTAGTTTACGCCTACTTAATAGTACTGCACATGTAGACGGTGACGCTTTGCTGCAGAAGTAGTCAATTCCTCTGTAAAGCACATGTATAGATGCCCCCAGTACTCTAATATAATAAAAGCCTTGGTCTATCTGTCCGTCTGTAAAGCTTTTGCCCAACTGCACATGCACTGATTGCCTGGGCGGGCGGGCGGGGCCATCTGAGTTAAAACAGGAGCCCCTGCGCTGGTGCCGCCTCCACCTACAGCCTCCAGTGTGGGCGCACCCCACCGCCTCACCTCCACAAAGGCAAAAAAAAAAAAATTGCCACGAGCACTTTACAAGTGCCAGGGCCAGCTGTGGAAAAGTGGGAGCCCCTCCATCAGCCCTGCCTCCTCCTCCAGCTTACAGTGCAGATGCTCCCTCCACCTCCACAGATGCTCTTTTTAATAGTGTCCCTACTCTTTTTAAGCCCTCTGATTGCCATCTGGGTGGGGGTTTTTTTATTAATCTGCCCAAATGCCCAGGATTTCTCTTTGCTCTGGGGATGGGAGCAGGCGGAGAATGATGGAAGACACAGGGAGCACACATGGACCTGCCTGCAGCCATGCAGTGCTCCCTGCTGCCTCCGATCACCTCCCTCTCTCCCACCCCTGGAGCACAGCAAAATCCCGGACATTTGGTCAGGGCAGGAGGACAGGGGGCTGCAGCTGCGATGGGGCAGGGGGAGGGGAGGGTTGCCTATTCTTCAGCAGTGGAAAGGGGCGGGGGGCAGCGCAGGCACTATGCCAGTCCTCAGAGGAGCTAAGTGGCCGCTGCCCAGGGAGGGGGGGAAGGAGCAGGGAAGGGAGAGGGGGCTGTGGCCAGGCTGACAGCAGGGCACTGCAGTCCTGTCCTAGGGTGAGGGTGCCATAAGCCTCCCCTCCTCTTCCCTCCAGCCCATGCTGGGGCCAAACATGCTTCGCTGCCACCTGCATGAATCAGAGCCACCATGCTCCTGCCTGGGCAGGATGGGAACAGCTGGGCCCTCTATCACAGCTGGGAGGGGTCATGGGGCTGTGGATTGGGAGTGAGGGGCACTAGGGTGGGGGTGGGGGACTGTGGGTTGGGAATACAGGGCACTGGCAGTGCCAGGAGCTGTGGGTCAGGAGTGAGGGGCACCAGCAGGGACGGGCCATGGGGGCCTGTGGGTTGAAAGTGAAGGGCACCAGGCTGGGGGTGGGGTACTGTGGGTTGGGAATGCAGAGCATCAGCTGGAATGGGGGGTGGGGGCCTGTGGGGCACAAGTGAGGGGCAACAGCAGGGATTGGGGATGAGGAGGTGTGGGTTGGGAGTTAGGGGCATTGGGATGGGGGCAGGGCACTGTGGGTGCACCAGCAGGGACGGGGGGGGGGGCTGGCGGGTTGGGAGGGGGGGACAGTGGGTTGGGTGTGCAGGTCACTGGCAGTACCAGGGGGTTGTGGGTCAAGAGTGAGGGACACCAGCAAGGATGGTGAGTTGGGGCCTGCAAGTTGAGAGTGAGAGCCACCTTCATGGCCCAGGGGGCCAGGGTACTGCAATTTGGTGAGTGAGGGGCACTGATAGGGCTGTGGTCAGTGGGTTGGGAGTGAGGGGCAGCAGCTGACCTGGGGGGCCGTGGCTTGCCAGTGAGGGGCAACAGAACGGACAGGGGCTGGCCCACCCTTTGGGGCTGGCCATGTAAACACTTCTTTGAAATCCATCGTTCCGGACGGGCAATTGGCTAGTGTTATAATATAATTGAAGCCTATGACAAATTCATAAGAGGGCAATTCTAATTCAGTATTTCCTATCTTCTGGATGTTTGAGTTTTCAATGTTAGCATTCGTTTAATGGCTTTTATGTTTATACACCTGAAATATATAGGGTTTAAAGGTCCTCTGATTTTATACTGATATAACTCCACTGAGTTAAAAAGAACAACCTCTGAGTTATATCACTGTAATTAAGAGAAATGTCAAAGCATACTGTGTGCTAGACTCATTTAATGTAGAAGAATGAAAAATTAGAAAAGCAATTACTTCCACTTTTGAATAATATGGATGGAAATGAGTACACCTGTACAAACTGTCCTTGGGTCTGGCAGACCAATCTACATTATAGTGCACTGTAGCTTACCAGCACCCTAGAGGTTGACTTTGTTGTTGTAAAGCTAGTATGAATGAATGGAGAAATAAGAAAATAGTGACTAGTGGGTGCATCTACATGAGACACACACTGTGCATTAGTGTAATAACACTGCGCAGTAGTATGTCACAGCAAAAATCGTGCTAATAGCCCACTGCACAGAGTTATTAGGTTAATACGCAGTAAGCATCCCTAAATAACTGTGTGCTGGAGCTACTGCACAGTAACTCTAGGTACTGCGCATTTATTTAGTACTTTATTAAGGAAGTACTAAACTAAATGCACAGTATCTGAGGCTCATTAATGAACATGTAGACATGCCCAGTGAGTTCAGTCTAGCAAGCAGGTACTCATCATGTTAACTGCTTCTGAAGTGCATTGCCAAGACAAGATGAGCTTCTCTTTTAGTCATACACAGCTCTCATTTTAAAAACTGATCCCTGGATATCCACTGTAGAGGACTGAACTGGTCAAATAAGCTGGATGTGTTCATCTAAGAAGATCCCTTGCTCTAATAATATCA